ATTTAAGTTGCATACATTCCAAATCAGTACTACAGCGGCACCTCGCCAGTACGACGATTGTGGCAAATAATGCAAGTTTTGTGTCTGAGCAGATACAGTTTCTTAGAAAGGTTGCCCACGAAAAAACGAGAAAGAAAAATGCTCTTCGAGTTCGCTGTATCTGTTGCGGTACGTAAACATTTTTGAAAGCTGATTTTGCGCTTTTAGTGGCGCACAAGATGCGTTAGCATTCAGCAAAATTTCTGCTTCTCGCTCGTCAAATCAATGGCAGGCAAGGGCGACGAGTCATTTGTTAATACGAGTTGCGAAGTTATGAAAAAAATCTTGTAAAGCTTTTAGCAAGGTTTTTTGACGGAAGCTCTTGGCAAGGCTTTAGCCGTTTCACAATGTTAGTGATATGTATCGAGCATTACCAACTCATCTTGGACTGATCTCACTAGGCAATGAAACATTAATTTAAACTTTTGTTTTTGGGAGGGTGCATATGAGCTGGAAACATCCGTATAAAATTTTAGGTCCCTAGCTTCTCCGCTTGCTGAGTTAAAAACGTGCAAAAGGTTAATGTAACCAACGAATTTTTGGAAACAAATGGTACCTCCAATGCAGCCATGATTGATTTTGAACACTTTCATTCCGTAATTTGATCGTTTTGATATGTTCAAGTTTTTTGAAAAATAAATATACAGTCTCATTGTACAAACTTCCCATTTTCGAAAAATCCACTGTCGTTAAATGCTTCAATTTAAGTAAGCAAAAACAGTCGAATCCCTCTGTCGAAACTGCAAAATTAAAGTGTGATTATATTACAATTATGTTGACCACCTGGAAAGTGTATGTACCCAGTTGCACCCGAGTGGGAAGTAACTATATAAGGCGCTTCGATTCTGACATGCGTGTCATGAGTTAGCACTCATCGCCATATGCATCAATTCGTCTGAGGTCTGGTTAAACGGTAATTTTCCTTTTTGCTTTTATGGTGCGCGCTATATCCACTGAAAATTAGCAAGACAAGTACTATGTTTCGATTTTCTGTTTTTGCGTTTTTGCTCGACACCCTGCATACTGCTCAGTTAGCTGAGTTTCCGAATGTTTAAGAAAAACAGACATATAGGGCATCTCCAAATTCACAGCTCTCTCCGCTCTACATTTTCTTTGCTTTGGTGGTTAGTGACTACGTTTCGCATCCGTGCAATGCTACTTTTAGCATTACGTCTTACACGAAGGACGTTAATAACATTATTGAGTTCCAAAATACGGCAAATTTGACACTTTCGGGAAATTGACGATATTATTAACGTTCTTCTTTCCTTTTTCTGAAGAGAAGTGCTATAAATTAAATCGCATTCTGCTACTTTTAGTAGTGATTCTGTTAGAACCGTGCCAGCAACTGATATTGTATGTGCAGTTCCAACAAAGCTGTGCTTCGGGACCTTTGGGAATGTGGAACAAGAAGATGGTATAGCAACGAGTTCAAGCTATTCGAAAGCAATCAAAAAACACTCACGTATTTTCAAATGTATTTCATTAATCGAATTCAGTCTATCGGGTTCAAATGAATCCGTCAGGAGGCCAGTACTGTTTGCTAAAATTGAGAGATAGAGACGCTCAATTTGGTGAAATTCAATCACATTCCATAAAGCACTGAGGAACCGATCATCGAACTTTTCCTTTTCAAATATTTGCATCTGTAAACGGAATTATCAGGTATCTTAATATAAAGATGAAGCATTCTTCTCCTTTCTTCCCCTTCTTCCCCTTCTCCCCATCCTCCTCCTGTCGCAATCGAAATTACAAAATACAAAAACACTGTTACAGCTGAACCATCTTTCAATGAAATTTTAGCTGAATGTCGAGAACCGACGTCGGATCTCCGACAGGAGATCGGACCGTCGCGTTGCCACAAATACAACCTACAACAAGTATATATTCTCAGTAAAAACAGGACAAGCACCGGAAAAGCTACCAAGCGAAGGAGACGTGAGCAAGGAGCACTGTTTTTTACAGCACATTCACAAGGTAAAAGGGTACCTCAGTGAGTTCGAATCGTTCATCCAAAACGCTAAGCGTTTTTTCGGTGAGCCAGTTGTTATCGTTGAGAACGCGCACTAATGCGTTGGAGAGATGAGCCGGAAGCGGATTCTCGATCTTTGGAAGTCGGTTGTTTTCGTAGATGAATTTCGCAAATGCTTGCAGGCTTAATTCGAGCAGTGATGGCGGGTCATCCCACATATATTCGTTATACGTTTTACCGATGGTTGGTAACTGAGACATAATGTGCCACTCCAGATTCAAATTCTGTAACTTAGTAATTTGAATTTTGATTAAATACCCTACAGTGTATACTAAGACCGCCCCTGGTAATGGCTGGGTATGTACTATGCAAATGATGCTATTGATACGTTCCCACACGTCAGCTCTCAAACTGTTTGCTTCGCATTCCACTAAACCACCAGTCCTTGTACGCACTTTTTGGAGCACTTATAGTAAGTACCTATATGGTCCAGACATATATAATCTCACGCGCTGTATCATTATACAAGACACAACTTTTGCCAACTTTTCGCAGCACGTCTGCGATGAGCATCTGTTGCCTTTGATCCATTTCAAGTGTCTATGTACCTCAAAGAAAGCAAATGGGAGGATGGTTTGACTTTTTACTTGATGAACAGTTGTATATCTCTTTTATGCTTATAGGCTGTCTTAGAATTAACAAAATAAGAACACAAACCAAAATGTTGTCCAGTTTTCGAAGTTATAAATCAACGCTCGCAATCACTTCAGCGACAAAATGTGTAACAACAGATAAGGTATTATGTCTACGGGAAAATATTCGCCTCTTCTGCCGCAAAAAGCTACTTATCAAAATCTCTGAAATACAAAACAGTTTCATCGCATGAGTGTTTTGTAAACCCATTTTGTAGCAGTCTCAGACGTCAAGCAAAAATGGGGGCATTAATAAAAATATGATTTTAGTGTATGTATGTACATGTGTTTGTGTCTGTGTTGCATGTTTGTACGTGCGTGTCTGTTGTGTTGTGTGCGCTCCCAAAAAAGTTCGGTGACTTCGGTCATTTTGTTTTTTATCTCTTCCGGAACCCTGCTTACAGTTAGCGGTAATGAAACAGCACAACTGGGCCATAAGTAGGTGTATTGGAGGTTACAGAAGAGATTAAGAAAAACTGAAGAAAAACTTATACATTTGTAATATGAGCGTGTCATCAGTCGTTTTCTACTGCCAATTTTAAAATCCTTTCTCCATTCACTCTCAAGGAGAAAGAGGGACGTTCAGGAAGCAGCTGTAGGCCTTCTTTTGCGAATGGCCTACTGACAGTAGTGTAAATATTCTTTTTAATTTTTTAAAATAAAATACTATGCTAATTATCGTCTTGATCCCCTTTAGCACTTTTTTCCTCTTCCTACTGTAATCTACCTCCACCTAATTTTGTATACGGCTTTACATAACAAAAGCTGGTGCGCGTATTTCCCATACGAATAATTTAATACTTGTATTGTATCCAGCTGCACCAGCTGGATACAAAGTAAATATGTTGAGGCATCTCCTCTTAGGATTGGCTCCTTTCGTCTTTATATAAACCCTCTTTTCCCATATTCCAGGAGCTCGGCTCGGTTTCGGTTCGTCGCTTCAGTTCAGTTCACTTGTCTCTCACTCCTGGAATCCCCAGTCTCCTCGGACGGCCCCAGTCTTCATAACTCCAAATTCTTTGACTTCAACCAGAGGTTTGCTTCGCACTGAACAGTGTCTACATATTCCTCCGGTCCCCGACCAGGCCTTTTCAACTGTATTGATTTTCATCTTTCTTATTTTCTTTGCTAGGCTAAGATAAATTAGGTATAATGAAAACCACGTTTTGCGCTTTCTTCTTGCCTGGTCACAACGACACCGTAATACCTCACACCGCATACATCAAAAAAATCTGCTGTAGCAGTGAGCTGTTGCTGTGGAAAATCCGCACAAAGCCGCAATGTGTCAAACGTCACACAGCTAGGAAGCCGCACTGGGGGGATTTTCTCTGCCTACTTGCGTCCCAAAGAATGCAAATCTAGTTTTCAACTATCCCTCAAAACCTCGTCTTCATCCCCGAATCCAGCCTTCCACTCCCAAACCCACCCATCCCGTTCCCTTCCTCACCCAAACCCCGCTCGTCCGCTTGTCCAAGCCCTGCCTCCCTCACCACTCAACCGAACCCCGCCCGGTCCTGCCTGCTCCCTTACGCAAACTCCGCCCGCTCCCTCACCCAACCCCCCCCCCTCCCCACCT